TTTGTGGAGGAAAACGTGTTGGTTTGATTTGATTTCATGGACCTTAAAGTCAGTTTTGAAGATGTCAGTAAGTGGCTATTGCAGGGGGGGAAAACAGGGATATCAGCCCTAGGTATGAAACCCAGCTGCAGACTCTGTAGAAGGAATGGTGAAGGACATGAAATAATTCTGTGTGGAAGATAAACACAAATCTGAAAAGCTGGGTGCGCATAAAAGAGATGTTGTTTACTTTTGTTCTGAATAAATAGTGTTTTCTCTTAAACCTGCTTATCGGCTAACTGCACCTCTGAATAAAGAGAATACGAAGTGGTAGATGTTTAGCTGAATTCCAGCCTTTAAAGCAGTCCTACATGGATTAGATAGGTAGAGAATCCTACAAACCAAATTCTGAGGATTTCTTATCCTTACTATTGTCCTTGCGAGAAAGGTAACAGAAGGGAGCCTCTCGGGCGGATGTACTTTCAAGCACAGTTGATATTGAAGTATGTCACTGAATGAATTGTGAATAATTGTTTATGTTCGTATAACTCAACTTAATCCTGCAAGTGATTGCTCTAAATCATGTGGATTCTGTTGTAGTCAAAATCTTGTTGAGATCTTATTTATGGTCTGTTATCCTCACAAATCTGAACTGTTACTAAGCTGGTTAAAATGTTGCAATCTGCTAAGGTTCTGAAAGCGGAGTGATACAAACTTTCTAGTTCCTTATGGTGGTAGAGATTGAGCCTATACTAGCTCAGTGTTTTGGAAATCTGTAGATCTTGCAAAATAGTGGCTTTAAAAGGTGGTATTTCCTCCTGTTCTCAGTGGGGCTGACTCTTGATTTGATGTGTAATTTCAGGGTATACCTGATACATATAATTAATTTTAGTTCATATTAACAAGCACCTGCCTAACAGACCTGATCTGCAACTTGGGACCATCTTCTGAGGTTCTGGGAATGTTCTCTGGCTTTTCACCACCCAGTTCTTCCCTGAATGCTTAAGTGATTGTCTGTAGTAAATGCATAGCTTTCCAGTAGTGTTGTAGATAGTTTATAGGGCATCAGTAAGTAGAACTTGACATTCATTGATGTTCTTCCACTATAGAGCTGGGACTTTATTACTCTGGGACTTTATATATGCTGTATATGTAACTGCTCTGTCTCCAGATGCTATTCTGGTTTCTTCACACCTACCTAAAAATACAGAAGGGCAGTGAAGTGTACAGAAGCTTATTTTCAGTTAATTAGTAAAGCAGTTTTGGACTTCCAGAACTTTCAATTAATGGTAAGGCTGCTATGGTGCCATAATTGGTTGTTAATGATCATCCTGGATATAGTCAGGTTGAATTTTAGTTTTTGATGACTCCTGCTTAGAACAACTGGCAGAGCATCACAGTAGCTCCAGTCATTCCACTTTAACAGGATCCAGAATAAAATGTTGGACACATGCTTGCTTGTGAAAGAAACTCCTTCTGGAATCTCTTCTACTTTCCCTCAAACTCTCCTGAGCCTGAGGATGTAAAATGATGGTCTGGACAGAATATTCCTTTCCCAGCAAGTGTCTGTTATTCCAATGGCCTAGTGTTTGCAAGATAGAGCACTTAATTTGCTGATTTTATTCAGTCTTGGACTGAAGAAACTCCAGGACAGTCAGCTGTGTTCCTCCACCAAATTTTAAACAGGAGACTCTGAATGCTGAGGATCAACAGCTGTTGATCCAGGAACCTTGAGGTGTGATGTGCTAGTCTGTTCTTTTCAGTGCGTTTGTTGAAAGCCTGGTTAGAAAAAGGCCCATAAAACTTCAGTTTTTCAAATTAAAAGATATTCTCACCTATGGGTGTGATGCTTTGTGGATTTTTCTTTTTAAAGATTTTTTTGATAGAAAAGTAATGCTTGGAGCTGCTGTTTGCCCTTGTCTGTTGTAGCATCATATCATTACACTGACCATTCTTCTGCTAAGTATTCCGAACCAGATATGAGTGCGGCAACATTACGCAAAGAAAAATATCTGTAAACATCTCATGTTGAAGATCTGTTTCAGTAGATTGCCATCCCTTTTTTGATAATTTGCAGTATTTGCAACATTGTTACCAAACTGCTTGGTTTGTAAATTTTTTTAAATGAAACTGTGAAAGATTTTTAGTTGCCCATTGTATTATTATTATTTTGGGATTTTCTGTTTCTTTCTATGTTACAGAAAAATACAAATCCATATACTAAGATTGCTTGCCTTGAAGTTAAAAATAAATCAAGAGATTTGAGGTATCTTCTACAGAAGTGTTGTATTATGAGTGCAAAGCACTTTGTAGTATAGGTTGATGATTCTTAGTACAGTTACCTAGGACTTCACATGCAGCTATCCTGCTTTTCAGTAAATCATGATATAAAACGGTAATTTCCAAAATTGGGAGTACAGTGTACTATGCATCGGTAACGAACTCAGCTGAGGACCATTAGCTTGAAGGCTTGTTGCTAACGCAGCACTTTCAGTTTTCTAATGCTAGTCATGGACTGTTACACTTTCAAGTTGTATTTCGGAACTCTTTTCTGAAATGGTGTCAAGTTAGTGATCAAGGCAAATGCTATATAGGGGAAAAAAAAAAGAGAGAAAAAAATATTAACATAATTCAGTTTCTAAAGACTGGATTAATTATAGGAGTCCTTTAATTTCCAAGGTGGTTAATCGATGGTGCAAGCTGGCCAGTTCAGAAACATTGTTACTGTCCTAAATTTCTCCCACAGCTTGTCCAACAAATGCTTGAAGTCTTGTTTGTGGTATCTAAGCGGCCTTAGATATACTAGGAAAGAACACAGGAATGTCCCAAATGTTTGGAATTACAAGTAACAGCCTTTTTTATACTGTGAAATGCCATGAAATTGGTAATACCTAGAAACATACATTGAGTTACTTATTCTATCTCTTTGAAACTGTATATTTCTTAATTCTGAAGCTATAAAGTTTACTTCAGGGGGGAAAAAAAAACCCACATAGGATTAGCAGATGTGTAAACTTAGAAAACAAAGTACGCACATATCACTACCAATATTCTAATTGTCTAAAATCCCCTCAAACTAGAGAAGATCAACTGTCATTCCGAAGTAAAATGGACGCTTGAAATCCTCTGAACTTGGTAAACAACAGTTAGTGGTTTAAAAAAAAAAGCTGTTTTTCTTGTTGTTTTGTTTTTCCTTCTTCTCATTGGATGTTTTTCAGAGTGTTTTTGCATGCCGTCATTAAATCCAGAGTTGGGCTAGTGATACTCATATCTTGAGGAAAAAGCTAGTCTTTCATGTCTGTTAGCCCTGTGCGGGACCTGTGATAGAGTGGAGAGGATCTTTCTATTGGTGGAATTTAAGTAAAATAGGGGAGGGTTGTTTTTGTTTTTTTGTTGTTGTTGTTGTTGTTGTGTGTTTTTTTTTTTTTTGTCATTGTCTAGGATATATAGATACTGCCATAAAAGCTTCTCACAAATTACTAAGTATTCAATCTGTTTCTGCTAATTTTGTAGTGATGTCCATTACTGAAGTCTTGCAGAGCAATTTAGACACAACATTAAGTGGAAAACTTGATGTTCTGGTGCAAAACAAATGATAACTTATTTGAACTCCATAGCAGAAATGTAAAGTGTCTGTGCATTAGTCCTTATGAAGGATGCTGACAGCTCCGCAAAGTCTAGCTCCCCTCTCTAAGCACACGACAGATTAGGTTCCTAAAAACTTCCCATGCTGTCTGCTTGTGGCATTCTACAAACTGGAAGTTTGTTTCATTTCCTTCAATGACTTCCTGACTGCTCAGCGAACACCAGTCACATCTGGTGTTTTTTGCATATCATTAAAAGTTCAGCATTCTCCCCTTCCCCCCCCCCCCCTTTTTTTTTTTTGTTCTATTTTGTTTACTAATACATTTGAAAAATCCCAAATACTGCATTAAATATCAGATGAAATAGAGCTGTATTCATGTTAATGTTTTCTCTATAACAGTTTTGAGCCACTAGGGGTCATGGCTCTAGTTTGGGAAATGCTCATCTTGTCAGCCTGTTGGTAGTTACAGAGAGTTTGAAAGAGCTTTATTATTTTGGATAGACTACTCCCTAGTTTAAAACAGTCATCAAGGTATTATTTTTACTTGCATCATTTGCAGTTCTTATTCACTTTTCTGACTGCCAACACACAGATTTTCAGTTATTTAAAAAAATATATTTGGTGATTTTTACTGGCAGTTGTTAAAAGCCAAAAAATGAAGGTTTTACATTGGGTGATTCCCTAGACATTGTGACCAGGCCTTTTGGGTTTTGTTTAGAGCGGGAACTGTTAACTACCCTGTATCTCTGAAATGCAATATGCTTTTTGGCAGTTCCAAGGCTCTCCAAATTAACTCGTGTATCTTGGTTGCTTGCTTGCTTGCTTTTTTTGGTTGGTTCTGCTCCCCTTGTCAGATAAATCTTCCTTTTGCCAATCAGGGCTGTTTACTCATATAACTAAACAAGACACATGTGCCAGATGTTCAGGTTGAACTGTCTTGTCAGTTAAGCTTATTACATTGAAAGTTGTTATTTGATATAAAAATGTCATAAGGCAGAAAACTCCTTGTCTTTCAAATCTGTTACCATGTTTCCAGAAAGTTGTTTTTTGTCATGAAGCTAATTTTTCAGCCAGCTTTTTGTAGCATTCGGTTCTGGGTTATTACACTGCGTGCACGTGTTTCATTTTTATTTAGCTCACGCGTGTGGAGCAGGGCTTTAGCTTCCTGGGCTGGAGATTTGTTTGTTTGTTTTCGTTGATGGTTTTGTTTCGTTATTGGCGCGTGTGTTAACGCAAGCGGGAAGCCTGCGGAGGCTGCGGGCTGTGCCTGGCGGGGCCGCGTTGTGCCGCTGCCGGGCGCGCGTCTCGCTAGCTGCGCGCGACACCCGCCGTGGAGCTGGGCGCGGGAGCAGCAAGCGTCGGGGAGCTGAGCTCCTCTCTTCTCCAACTTAGTCCAATAAAGTCCTTGTTAGCAGGCTGCAAAAAGATTACGTTTCTGAGTAGTTGTTTGTTATACCAGAGAAAATGCCAAGTTCAGAGGTACTCTTTATGTTTTGAGCCCTTTATATCGTGCCTCAGAGATAAATACTAGCAAAGTGATTGTGTGGCTTAACTCTCAAGGTTTGAACAGCGTCTCTTCTCCAACATGAATATGGAAATAATTTGTATGTTGGGAGAAAATGGAAATAATTTATGGAAAATGGAAACAACTATTGTGATCTGATACATGAGAAATCTTAGAGCAGCAGGTGGAAGGACCAAATAATTTTATCTTTACAAATTTTGATACTTGTCGTCTAATACAGCATTGTCTGTTTGTTAAACGTTAAAGATAGCTGCAGTGATGATGGTGGGTTTGGGCTTGTTTGCCTTGTTTGTTTGCTTCATGTTTTAATTCATTTTTACTTCATTTTTGAGGCACTGTAGCTGTCCTCAGCGCCGCGGCGGCGCTTAGCACAGCCTCGTGTGTGATGCGGAGCCCAGCAAGGCCGCAGCGCCGCTGGCCGGGGAGCCCGGGGGCACCGGCGCCCCTCGGGCTGCTCCATTGTGTGCGCGGCCGCCAGCCGCCTCTGCGCGAGCGAGCGAGCGCGGGGGGAGGAAGGCTGCAATTAGGGAGCCCTCTAGGCTGAACCCGCCATTTTACTGAGCTCCGCTGGAGCGGGTCCTTGTAAGGGAGATGGCAGGAGGCTGGGAGAGCATGAAATGGCAGCCGACTAGCAGCAAAGAGGCCATATGCACCCTACAGGAAGCCACTGCTCTGCACAGCCTCGGGAGCTGCCCGGCCCCTCTGCACTGGAGATAGCCCTAGGAAAGATGCGGTTTGCAGGAAGCCCTGCCCTGGCTTTTCTGCTCGCCCTTGTGCTGGGCAGAAGCCTGGGTATAAGGAGAGCCAGTGCGCGAGGGGTTAGTGTGGCGCCCCGGGGCAGCCCTGTGGTGAGCGGCCGGCCGAGCCGCGCCACAGAGGGGCACTCGTTACCAGCCCCGCTCAGGCCTGCTCGGGGCTTGCCCTCCTCGCCGAAAATGGCGCCTCCAGCGCTTCCCTGCGTAGCAGGAGCTCCCAGAGCTCACGGCCCGTTTCTCTGTCTCCGCAGGCGATGGAGCATGCAAACGGCATGGAGCTGGATGGCAGGAGGATCCGCGTGGATTACTCCATCACCAAGAGAGCGCATACGCCCACTCCAGGCATCTACATGGGCAGGCCAACCCAGTAAGAAGTTCCCTCGTTTCCTTTTAATGAGGAGAAAGTTGATACAAATGGAGAGTTTGAAGTCTGACTGAGGAAATGAAAATACAGAAATTTAAATTTTCTGATTTTTTTTTTCCTTTTTAAAAAATAATCCTGAGGTGTTTTTTCTCCCAATTGTATTTTATCAATATTGCTAATTGCATTTTATTACAGTATGTTTATATAAAGTATGTATCATTGAGATTTGCATGCTATTCTACTGGAGTTTCTTGTGTCATCATTTCTCAAAGTTTGCTGAAGGATTTTTTTAAAAATTGTCAGTCATAGTTAAGATACGTGTAGCTTGCAGAAGGTATTAAGGTACCCATTTGTTTTTTAGTTTTTGGTGGGATAAATGACTATTGTGTTTTTTGAAGCTTTTTTCTTTAAAACTTTTATTATTTTATGTTGTGGTCTGAAGTGTTTATTATTTGTAAGAACACTGCAAAAGCTTGTAAATAGTTTAAATAACGATAGCCTCTAGCTGCTTAAAGGTGTGTGTGTGTGTGTGTTTGTTTTTTTTTTTTTTTTTTCCCTCCCAATAGCAGTGGAGGAGGAGGTGGTGGTGGAGCAGGTCGTCGTCGTGACTCTTACTACGATAGGGGATATGACAGAGGATATGACAGATATGAAGAATATGACTACAGATACAGGTAATCTTGAGTTTATTTGTAGGGGGAAAAAAATGGATTTGTGGGAGAAATGGAATAGCATTTTTGCCTTTTCCCCCCCCCCATCTGTAGCAAGACTGTGCATGCATATATGTGTTAGGTTTTGTAGGGTTAAAACAGTCTTAATCTTTAAGGCTTCTGTAAAACAGTCACACAGTGAACACCTGGGAGAAGGGTCAGTCTTGTGACCTGAAAGAGGGTAATGCCCTACAAAATGGAGGGGCAGAAAAGAAGGGAAAAATCCTTATGGAAGCAGGGACAGCTGATGACTAGTGCTGCTTTAAGCAAGGCTTTTTCAGGTATGTTTTTAGTACATCTGAGGCTTCATAATTGTCCTGCTGTTTTGAAAGTTAGCTAGTGTCAGAGAATGTTGTTGAACAAGAGCTGTATGCGTGTGTTAAAGTAGTTGGTGCACTCGCAGGGCTATTAAGGGTTTAATAAATGTTGTCTAGAAATGTCCTACAGTGCAAAACACTGAATGGAGTTTTATAAAAGCATTTGGGTTTTTTTCTTGTTGTTTTCGTTTGTTTTGTTTTTTAAAAAGTGAGCCCCAGCCAAATAAAACTGAAATCTTTCATGCAGGCCAAAGTCTTTCATTGCTAAGGAAATGGTTCTGTTCTGTAGAACTGATGTGAATAAGGCATCTTTCATAATGCACGTTGTTGGGTTTTTCTTTAATTTCCCTTGAAGGAGACGATCACCATCACCTTATTATAGTCGATACCGATCACGATCAAGATCCCGCTCCTATAGTCCACGTAAGTAAACACAAATGATTAAACCGCATCTGGCTGGCTTAAACCTTGCTATTACCAGTATTAATTGGTCAGGGACAGTTCTGAATGCCACAGCAAAACTGGTGCATCTGATGGGGCATTTTCAAGCTGTTTGCCTTGTTTATAGTAATGGTGTCTTCTCTCTTTTTTTCCAGGGCGCTACTGAAGGTCAGAAGAGTTAGCAAGGACGTGATTTTTAAATATAAACTTCAGATCTTAGCTTCCCTTCTGCTTCCCCTCCTGTTCTCCCTTCCTCATCCTCCATCCAGTTCTTTTACAGATCTTTGGTTCAGTTAGAGTATACATATTTTCAGTTGAAGTATTCCTATTTTCCATCCCTCTTTATTGTAATACTCTTAAATATTGTAATTGTTGGTAGTTTTGTGTAGTAAAACATCCTAAGCAAAATTAAATAGAGAACCCAAGATGTTGATACATTTTGGAAGTCATTCTGATTTTGTTTTTAAAACAATTGGACTCTGGCTAATCAAAAGAGCAGAAAGGATTGATATTTTTAAGGCTTGCATGTCATATGTAATATGCACACTCAGATACTTCAATATAAACCTGCATTTCCAAGTAACTCATTAATCTTTCTGTTAAGATGTTTACCTCTTACTTTGAGAAACAAGTAACACCTTTTGAGCCTTTTCTGTAATGACAAATTTATTTAGATAGTCATGAACCAGAGGATCTTTTTGTCAAGTAGTTATTTTGAATGTAGAATATTTGAGCTAGAGCAAAATTTGATATTTGATTGACTGGGGAAAATAGATTCTTGTACACTGAAAATTTAGACTGTTTTCTACATTAAGCTGTCAGACTGCTACATAGCGGGTAACATTTGAAGTTAAAGCTTTTTTTTATTTTTGTTTTTTAATTGTACTCTGTTGAATATTTCCCCTTAATCAATGCAGGAGTAAAAACTATTTATTGAACATAGCAATTAGTTGTATAATTTGCTGTTCATTTACAAAAATAAAAGCAAAAATGACCCCACCTTTTTGGTATTACAATAATGGTTAAGCAAGTTTTGTTTCCACTCCTTTTTGGAGTTTGACAATGTGGATGGAAAAACCTACAACTGTATGTAAACTTTTTTTTTTTTCTCAATAAAAGTTAATTCCACTGAGATGCAATTTCTTGTCTTGTTTTATATTGCATGCTGCCTTGGTGGATAAGTTAATAAAGAGTAGGCTAATGTGCATATGGGCCGTACAAATAAGCAAGCCAGCATCGTCCCATGTGCTCTCGCAGAGCGTCTCCAGAAGAGTTGCTGCTGGTCAGAGCTGCCCCGACGGGCTCGCGTGAGGGAAGGTGAGTGCCAGTGCCTGCTGCGGGGCCTGGAGAGCTGCGTGGTAGCGACTGGAAAGGCTGCTCTGCATCTCTGCAAGAAAGAGTTCAGTTACAGCAATGATCTGATTCTGGGTTGAAGTGCAATTTTTCTTCATCTTAACAGAAGATGGCAAAAACACAGGTTACTTTCTTGCCTTGGTGAGTCCTTAACACAACTCTGAGGTTTCTCATGATATTACGAGAAAGCCTGTATGAAATATTTTGTTACCTAAATTTCCTTTAAGGATCGACTACAATATGTCTGGATAAAACAATGGACCACATCTCTGAAAACATAATCTATACATGATTTGTCCAGCCCTCTCCTGTCACTGCAGTGGTCTTTCCAAGGGAAATAACACATTTCTTTTGGTGACTGGAATCAACGAAGTTCAGGGTCAAGCAGCGTATTGACTGCAACAAACTGAAGGGCCAAAATTTAAGCAGAGAAAATGCTTGTGTTGGGATTTTTTTTTTTTTAAGCATGTAACTCTCTCTAATTTTGAATGAAAGAGTGAGGCAGCATGAAGCACAAAGCACAGAAAGTGGCCAGAGTGCGAAGGTGCCGCCACGGCTGCCAGGGCTGAGATTTCTCGGCGTCGCTGGAGGAGCCGTTCAGCAACCCGGCTGCCTGCGAGCTGAAGCTGTGAGCGTCTGTGCTGAGCTTGAGCAGGGTGAAATAGCCTTTCTGGTAGGGTTTACTCAAGTAACTGTAAAATCACTATATGAAGCTGTAAGTGGAAATTTTGTTATGTGGTGCGTTATTATCCACATAACTTCTCTTGCACAAATTCTTGTTTAATGCTTAGAGTGGCAGTCATCTTTTGCAAGTTTTGTATTGACAGAAGCAGTATAGTGTATTTGAAGGTAAATCAGTAATAATCATGGCTATTTTTACAGTATTTGGACACACTTGCACACGTATTTAACATGAATACTTGTTAGAATCAAATGCTCACTTTAGAGCAGTCTTGAACCTGGCAGGATGGTTTATAGCCGGTTCCTCATTCATACAGTACTTCCCAGGAGCTAAGCTGAGACCTGTGTGTGTGTTTTCTGCGGTAGCTTTTGTAGCCAGCATTCTCCAAGGACAGCAGTTTTTCTTGCTGCTTTGTGGTGAATACATTTAGATAAAACTGCTGCTACTTCTGTGGAAGAGAGTAACTCTTGGCACTGTCTTATTAAAAACAGCTAGTTAAGCAGGTGACTACTGTAGATTAAATAAAAACGTAAAAACACCCAGGGAAAGTGTAAGCTTAGTCCGTACTTTAATCATATACAGAGATTTTGCAACAAAGTAAAAATAAAAAGTCACCCCATCTAACAAAATAGAGGAGAAACTTTACTTTGTGCTGGTACACAGTTCAAGTTTGCAATTAAATTTAGAAAGACCCTTCTGTTCCAAAAGTGGTTGCATGGTTGCTGTTTGGGTAGTTATTTCTACGTTGTGACTCTTTGTGGGGGCTGGAGGGAGTCGGACGCGTTGAGCGTTGGCAAGAGCTGGGGCGCGGATCTGGGCGCCGAGCGGCAGGGTTAGCGCCGCTGCTGCGCGATCCCGTGCAGCGGTTCCCACCTCGTCTTCCTCTCCGGGCTGCGCCCAGAACCGGCGTACGGAGTCGCTGAACAGCAGCTCCAGCTCCGCGAGCCAGAACTTCCATGCTGGGTTTTCCTGGGCAGGCCCAGTCCTGGACTGTTACATACGTATGGCAAGACACAAGATAACCCTGCAAAATGCTTCGGGGTCGTTAGGCTTTGGAGAGGTATCCCGAGGGAAAGTGTTGTTGGAAAATTCTTTATGGTACATACGGTTGTATGGTACGTGCAGTTATATCACAGCTGTGGTCAGGAGCTCACATAGGTCTTTATTTGCTTTAGAGGAGGGGGGGGAAAGCCCTAAAATAAATACAATCTCTGAGAAGTAAAGCAGAGGATGTCAGCTCCGAATAGAGGCTGCTCCTGCAAATCTGCAGATCAAGGAAAGGGGCTGTTTGAGGCCCTCGTGCACAGCTCCGGTTTTGCTCAGGTTCTGGCACTACCGTAACCACCTCATCCTTCAGCGTTCTGGACTGCGGAGCCAAGATTGCAGAGCTGCTCCTTTGCAATGCTTCGATAGCTGTAAATTGGTCCTTTCATGGCCAAAACCTTAAAACTTGGGGAGAAGAAGAGGACCTGAAGAATACCTGAAGGAAACTGCTGTTTATACCACACACAATGGCAGCCTTTGATAATTTGCAGTAGCTCTGCTACCTTCTCTAGTTGTTGTGGAAGCTGGTCTGTAACTCAACAATTCACATGAGAAACAAGCACCACCAAATACTTCTTACTCAAACAACATTGAATTTCTTTATAATGGCGATGCAGATGTTTAAATATGTACCATGTAATATTCAGTCTCTAAAAAAACCCAAAATTCCTGCAGCAGGGGGAATTCAACTTGTTAGAGTTACCTTGATCTGGGCCGTTGTAAAATGGCTGCTGAAGGGGGAGCTTTCCCAGCAGCTCCCACTGCTCACGGAGCGCCAGGCTCTGAAGGCGCCTTCCCGCCCTCTGCTCCCACCCCTTGCTCCAGGTGCCAGGCGGTTCCTCCTCCTCCAGCCCAGCAGAGTCAGTGCAGGGTCAGGGGAGATGATCTGCTTCACACTACAAAAATTGCAGATGCAAAACCCCCTGGTCAGTGAGCAGATGAAGCGATCCTGGCCGAGGACCCTCTACAAAAATTGCAGATGCAAAACCCCCGGTCAGTGAGCAGTTGAAGCGATCCTGGCCGAGGACCCTGTTTCATGAGGAAGGGCCAATTTGGATTTCTCTGCTGTGCCTTTCATGATACTGTGCAGTAGATGTTTGGCAGCCAGGGGAAATAGGCTTGATTTCAACCAAAAAAAAATACATATAATAATAATACACCATCACAGAAGCCTTGAGAAGGGCTAAAGGGTTTGTGTAACCCCACAGGGCATGAGCACCTCTCACAGTGTTTCTTCAATACCACTGAGTCTCGGCAGAGGCAGATTAATTGCGGGTAATAAAACTGCCCCTTGTCAGAGCAGAGGGACTTCGGCAGCTGCCGCCTCAGTTGGCTCCCAGGCTGCTCTCTGAACGCCCGGCTCTCCTGAGCTTTCCTTTACCCGGGTGTAGGGGGACAGTGTGCTGAATGCAAGCCTCAAAGCAAGGGAGACTTGGTTTTAACCTGCACTTTAAATTTTAAGGCTTTTTCTCCTCACAAATTGGCCAGCTGCTTTTCCTCTTCATGGGCTGCACCTCAATACTCAGGAACATCTCCAAGCTGATGCAGCTAAAATAAGTGTTACCTGCCAGGCTGAGGACAAGCTTCAAGCTTGTGCTGAGGGACCTTTCATATGCTTACAGTAAGAACAAGCAATAACTAAGGTGGATGATCTAGGATGGGCTGGGAGGGCGATGGCAGCCCCAACCACCCCAGCAGGCCCTTGCAGCCGCGTCCCAGCGGGCTCCTCTCATATCCTTGTGCTTGCTGCTGGTGACCAAGGGAGACCTTATCAGGAGCAAGGCTTTACGAAAAGCAAAAATCCCATTCTGGTCTCCAGACATGCATCTAACACAAATTCAGGTTTGCTTTTTCTAGATGGTTTCTAGACATCCTTTTGTGCGCAGTGTTTATCTGGAGGCTGCAGTGGATGACACAACCAATTTGAGGCCTTTGTAGAAAGAAGACAAGAGAAAATAAATACTCAGAATATAATGACAAAACCTTATTAGAATGAAGAGCTGGAGTAGGTTTCAGCACGTCCTCTGCAACTCCTCCTTGCAGAGGACGGTTCATGGTGGCACAACGTCGCCGACGCGCGGGGAGGGCTGCACGCAGCTCCTAGCTCAGCCCACGTGCGTAGTCCTGAGCAGAGTGTTCAATCTATTCTCCAAGCACGAGGACAACCCTGCTGCCATACTTTTATTTTGTCCCACCCAGCACTGGAAAGCAATGGACTATTTGCAAAAGGATCTAGGAAAGGTGTCCAAGTTCACAGGCGATTATAAATAACTCCATAGGGTCTATACTGCAGCAGATAGATGCAGAAGGGTGGCCACACCAGCTTGGGGGTAACTACAGGTAGGACAAGGGGAAATGGCCTCAAGTTGCACTAGGAGAGGTTCAAGTTAGACATTAGGAAGAATTTCTACATGGAAAGAGTAGTCAAGTATTGGAACAGGCTGCCCAGGGAAGTGGTGGAGTCACCATCCCTAGCAGCATTGAAGAAACATGTAGCTGAGGCACTTAGGGACGTGGTTCAACAAGATGGTGCTGAAGGGTTTACAGTTGGACTCGATGATCTTGAAGGTCTTTTCCAACCATAAAGATTCTATGATTCTATGATTTTTAAGGACACTCCGACGCCAGGTTAAAAACAGCTATAGAGCCCAGTCTGTTAGGCAGCCACGTGGGCTGCTGCTGGTGCTAACCTGCTGCTGCTGGTGAGGCTGGGAGCAGCCTCACGCAGCTGAGCACCGAGGTGCCCCCAGTGCCCCCACCAGCCTGGGCA